AAGAACCTTTACGTGAGTCACGAGTAAAAGGGTGATGCTTTTTAAATACTGTATTCCAGAACGAGTGCAGTGTTGTATATTAAATGATCCCTTATGTTACGTCATAGTCATTAACATATTGGGAATATAAACCTTCATATCTTAAAGACCCGACATTTAAATGACGAAATATTTTCACAATCAACTATCCATTATCTAATGAATCAATTCTGAAAATATTGTGCAAAGGCTCATAAGCACTTTAAGTCTTTTTTGTTTGTTTAAGGAGGGAATAAAGGCTAAGTGAAAATAAAAGATAAATGAAAAAATAAAAACGTAGAAAGAAGAGGGRAAAAAATGGCAAAAGTTCTTGCTCATTTTGATATATGGAAAACTTTAATTTGTAACTGATTCTAAAAATAGCTTAAAGATTCGGACAAACATTGCATTCTGTTTAACCGCTACGAGGATTATACGAACCGATTTTATTATTTTTACTTAAAGTTACAATAATAACCCATGTAAACTAAGATCAACTGCGATCGGCTGTGAAAATTATCTGCTGAAAGTAAACTTGTAAGTTTGTTTGTCCGAATTTCGCCTTTATCTTCGTTTTTATGACGTCACGGTTGCGCTGTGCTATTGGTTGTCGTCTAACACTATAATCTTACACATTTATTAACTGAATTCACTCCTTACTTGAAAGCGTATTAATTTTTTTTATCTTGAGAAGGCTGTCACACTTGATCTACTTAAGGCTAATTATATTGACGTATAGGTAATAATTATATATTATATATTGTAATAATTATATATTTTTTAAAGTCGTTACTTTTGATTTATTTACCACCCCAAAGAAATTCTATATATTTTATTTTCTAGAAGATTTCATCCAGCTCAATTTATGTAGCAATAAAAGTCATTCAATATTCTATTGCTGATAGCATACTTTAGATAGAGAGTAATTAGATTTTTTATTCAATTTAAATTGGCTTGAATATAGGTGTTCAGAGTACGTGATGTGAATCTCTAAGTAGTATATTATATTATATGCTTTCCTTTCCTTTCCTTTATATCAACTGAAAAACGTTATCTACCAAATAATTTTCCTTTCATAAACTAAGCCGTTTCATTTTTTTAATTGTTATCGTTATTATTTTTACGAAAGATAAATACATTTCGTAAACACAAATTTCGAGTTAATAACATTATAGCCCTTTGGCTTTGCGATTAAAAGATTTTGTGATTAAAGGAAAGGAAAGGAAAGGAAAGGAAAGGAAGAGAAAGGAAAGGAAAGGAAGAGAAAGGAAAGGAAGAGAAAAGCAGATAAAAGAAAAAAAAAAGCTATAGTTCGAAAAAATAGTGGCTGTAGTAAAGATTAGACCACGAAGATATTATTATTAGAATAATGTTAGTAAAATGAGAATTGTAAAAATACAACCGGACCTCCATGTGAATTGCTAATTAACTTAAAAGAAAAAAGAACATCTCCGATATAAGATAAACAACTTTTATCAGAAGTAAAAGGAAATTTGTCTAGACATAGCACCTTCCTGAATCAGTGGAACATTCTACTTTTTACTTAATTATTAAATGAAGGTCGTTAAATTCGGGCTCTTTTCCCAGTTTTAACATTTTTGGCAAATGATGCAATATAGAAAAGCCTACCCTTTTTCATTATGCAACTCTATTTACCGATTGTGTGAAAAAGGGTACCCTTTTTCCTAAAAAATACGGGAAAATCTGTTATTCTTTTTGAAAAGTTAGTGAAATAGAAAACTCCTACCTTTTCGTCGTTCGCTTAGCTCAACACAATGCACATCAAAGGGGTTCATTTTTTCATTGAGTTTCAAGAAATTAACGCATTTGAAAATTACCTCCCGTTTTCTATGCACAGCTAATTTAGTTTGAAAAGTTTTAAAAGGGGGTACGTTAATTGCATTTTCCTCTGGAAGCTGCAAAGCACGAAAATTGGTACCCCTCATCGAAACAACAATGACATGGCATAGAGTTACAATAATGGGTAGCCTTTTACGAAGTTTCATTGTCGCTTGTCCAGTCAAAAAGAATCTCCTGTCATTGGCTATCTTGACAGCCTAGCTATAATGATGGATAAGACATGACTGACGGCGTATGATTAGGCGCGTCTTGTTCCTTGCACGTCCATATAGCTTGCCAGTCAGCAAATTTCCCCATAMAAATCCTCATAAAATATTCAATTTTATATGTAATGTCATTTCTCCTGTGCCTTTGTTATAAGCTGAAATTTTGCCTTCTCACTAATATCGAGTTACTCTTTCTATTTCTGGTGTTCAATTTGACAAAACGGCTCTTTTTACGGAGGGTATGGTCACGTAACCTGTTGTGGCAAAAGGTCTATTAAAGAATTATCCTCCGCCTTTTTGCAGAATCTTATGTGGCTCATGTACGTGATTTCAGGGTTGTGGCAGTAAGACTCGTTTACCCCGGATGTAGTGGGAGGGGTGGGGCTAGAGCGCATGCGCTATATCGATCTGTTTTTAKGATCAGTATTCACGATTATTGAATTATCCTCACTTCTCCGCCAAACAGTTTGTCCAAGAGAAAATGAACTAAGAGAAGGAATCCCCGTGCCCCATCATGTGCACGCTTTGATGCTATTTTTAGAATCATTGATGCTATCTTTAACTCGTTACCATACCCGCGCGATAATCATGCTTCCTTTTAATGACTCGTTTTAGGACACGAAAAGCGCCATAATTCTCTATGTGCACGACAAAAAGACAGGCTTTGTTTACTGCAAGACTGGAAGCCGTCTACCCTTAAGAAATCAACCAATCAGGTTCTTCGCTCAAAATATCTCCCAGCTAAAAATAGCATCAAACTGTGCACATGATAGTTACAAGGCTATATAGGTGAGATTCCTTCTCTTAGTTCATATTCTCTTGGTTTGTCCTTTTACGTGACTACACACATGATACACAAGGACGGCGCTAGACATTAGTATCTTTCTCCATTAAAATGCTCCTTACGAATTTAAAGGATTTGAGAAAAAAACTTTACACTTATCCTAGAACTGAGTACCTCAAACATAGTTTCAGTTGTAGCGTATTGTGGAATGGACTTCCCGTTGACTTGCATGAGAAAGCTTCCCTCGCTTTAGAAGAATAATGTTAAATGGTCATTTTCCGAAAATTCCTTTCGGGATTTAAGTGGATAACCTCTAGAGGTTGTCCTGAATTTCCAACCGGATTTATTCGAATGCCGTATTTATCAAACCTTAGTTAGTCATCTAACCAGATTTTTTCTGCTTAATATTAAGCAGTCCTTTATATCGTTTTTGAAACATCGCTTTCCGAACTAAATCCATTTACAGATTACCTGATACCATCTTAGAACGGGGTCTTAATAATTATAATAATAATAGTAATAATAATAATAATAATAATAA